TGTGCCTTAGCTGGCGCATAAGGGCGTGTGGGGTCATGAAATTTTTTTCTAAAAATATGGGGATGTCCCTGAGGTTGAGTAGGTGATGGTGGTATATTCATATACCTCATTTGAGCAATATATGAGAAGTTATTTCCTAGTTTTGTGTATGTGCCAGGTAAGTGCATAGGTAAGTTCATAAATAAAAGATATGAGATTGCTTCAGTTATACGAGATATTATGTGATGTATTGAGAGCTCATAAACCTGCACCTCGGTGTTAGTGCTCCTGCCTAGAGTTAGGGTACAATCCTTCACGTGATGTTCACCTCCCGTACCATATGCTCACCTTGGATCTAAGTTAGGTGCACAGGCTTGTTGTACATACCACTTTAGGTGGTTCCGACATGTAGGTGACCCGCGATTATTCGCACAGTCTTCACGTGATCGTAGCACTAGAGCATATTTATTTTACACCTAGTCTTGTCGTACAGACCACTTTAGGTGGTTTTGACTCATATGCAGGATTTGATATGATTGAGATTGGTTATGAACTATATACTCAGCCGTGCAGGTCAAGTTAGATAGATCCAGCTGTTATGATATCTGACATTGATATATTTAACTCGGTTACTTATGGCATTTCATTGAGATACTTTGGCATGGCATATTTATGAATATCGTTTTCTGAGCATGGTTTTGAGATATGTATATATTCTATTTTTTGGGAAATTATAAAGGTTTTACGGTGAAGGGTTAGAACTTTTGAGAAATGAAATGATTTTGAAAAGCTTTGTGTTTTTGCCCACTCACACTTTCTGTTTTGCGCCCCTCCAGGTTTTAGGTAGAAGTGCTTTGGTGGCTCACGGGGATTTCAACGGTGATTCTGACAGAACATCATAAATGTAGGATCACCCTTGGGTGTTGTATAATTAGTACTTGTCCTGCTTGACTGCACTTAGGCTATTTATGCTCCGATGGTGTATTTCACACTTAATCTCGCACTGGCACTTTATCTTAGCTAGTACTCTAGTTGATTTGATTTTTGTTGATTCCTATTTTCCTTATATCTTTATTGTTTCTGCACTGTGCACATGGTTACGTCACTCCCACGTGACGGCCAGCATGCCTCGATCTAGGTTGGGGTGTGTCAAAATTAGACCAACAAAGTTAAACAAAAAAAGCCCAAAAAAGAATTCATGCCCAAACCAGAAATTAGCTAAAGAAACCATAGTCTTCTACTTCCATAGCCTCTGCTACAGTGAACCAACACGATCTGCAAGCTTTCACGCCTCCAATCGACGAACGCCTCTCCAATCACATCAACCAGCCGTAACCAACTTTTTGAACACAGCCACAAAGGAAAAAACCAGTCACAGAGTGGAAGAAGCCCGTGACAATACCCGAGAAATGCTGCCGACAAAGGCAACAACCAGTGAGAAAATGTTGGTGTTGTGAACACCCGAGTTGGTGAGAACACTGGAGCTCTACACACTCTCCCGATGAGCCGCAACAAATCGTGGAAAAAAAAGTGACTGCAGATCGAAGTAGAGATGGTTGAAGATGACGAATGCCATTGTGGTGTGAGGGACAAGCCAAATTGAGGTGGGGAGCAGGGGGAAAAAGCAAAATCAGGGAAGAAAATAGGAGACAAATGGTAGGAGGAAGGGATTGCCATCACCCCTAACCATAGCTAGGGACGACAGCTCTGGAATTTGCCGAGATTTGGTACACTCACATAACCAATGAGAAGGGACTTTTAAATATAGAGTAAGTCTCTCATGAGGGAGATAAGCAGTCATTATTGCATTACTTGTGCAATCCATTAATTAGGTTCATTGCAAGACAATGTGGTGATTAATGCTACTAAAATCATTTAGTGAATTAAAATCATCTTTTAATTTCTCCGTTCATCGATGATAGTAAGGTTTGTCATCGAAGGGGCCCACAAGCCATGAGTGATGCCTAGTTTATGTCATGGTTATCCAAGCTAATATAGAATATAGAAGAGAACCTATTTAGTTCATTGTTCTAAAAACCCCCGCCTAGCACCGCCTAGGCGCTAGGTGGCTGGCCACCACCCTGATTAGTCCTTAGGTGTTTAAAAATTAAGAAAGTGTGTCTAGACCCACTTAGGCATCTACCTAGCCTGCCTAGGTACCCACCTAGCTCATGAATCTCACTGTGACAAAAAATCTATAACTTTCAATTTGCATTTTACTTTTTTCAATAAAATGTAAGAAATTTGTTGAATACTTGGATGAACACTCATGATATACTTGTTCCCCCTTCAATATGTTCTAATACTTTATAATTTATATGTCTTTTTATTTTGCAACTTATCTATCGCGAAACAATTATGTGTGTTTTTTAAGTATAACTAGGCACTTATTTATACAAAATATAATAAATTTACTTAAATCCGTTTAGTCCGCCTAGGCCTTTGCTTAGCCGCTAAGTCCTAACCCGCCACCCTACTAGTGCGTAGCATATTTTAGAACCTTGATTTAGTTAAGATTACAACGAAATGATCTTTCTCTAATTAATACTCTTAATTAGATCATTAGCATATATTTATTTCATATCAAACCCCTAATATAAAAAGCCAATGCAATCTCAATTTGAATTACATGCAACTTTGGAAGATTGTTACGTTGGAGGACATATATAAAGTTATCTCTAGAGTAAACCCTACTGATAAACCTAGTAGTTACCAATAAACCTATTAATGATCCTATTTTTCGGTTGTTAAAGATACATGTGACAAGATGAGACTTGGAAGGTATTCTGTCACCTTGTTGTCCACCTTTATTTGTAACTTTTGGATGGCGAAACCTATGCTGGATTTTTTTATTGGATTAAACATGTATACAAGATTCAACTTTGCTAAAGAAGAGGGGGTGGGTTTAACCTCACAATAAGAAAAAGATTCAACCTTGCTAGAATGATTCCAAGAGAGCATCTATGTGGAAACATTTTTCTGGTCAAGTTCGTCAAGTCATTACAAATCAAGATAACACTACCAAGGAAATTATATATCTGGGAATTTGGATCCCATCCAAATTCTCTTTGTGAGGATCTTAGGGATCCTTACATTCTATCTGTTCATTAGAATCTGTGCATCGTATATCGTGTAGCTAGAAATCATTTTCATTTTTTTACAAAAAATACCTAATGAAAGCTGACCGCACAATATACGATGAACGGATAAGATCCTCACAAAGAGAGTCTGGCAAGGATCCTCATCCTATATTTGGTTTTCCATTCTGTGCTACAGTACATGATGGAGCGGTACAAGATTTTCCTCTTTATCAAAATAATAACAATAATAACAACGAGGGTAAATTACACAAAACTACCTCAACTATTGGTCTCATGACACTTTCATACCTCATCTTTTAAAATTGACAATGTCATACCTCATCTTTAGAATTTGGTCAATTTTATACCTTCCATTAGCCTGACTGTTAATTTGTCAGTTAAATGCTGACGTGGCTTGATCCAAACCTCACTTTCTATTAAAAAATTAAGAAAATATTAAAAAAAATCATTTAATATATTTTAAATATTAAAATAACAAAGAAAAGTGAAAAAAAATAATTCAAAACCCAATTCGTCCCCACCCCACCCCCTCTTTCTCCTCCCCATCTTCTTCCCATGCTGCTCAGAAACGAAACGAAACGAAAATAAATAAATAAATAAATAAATAAATCAAAACCCAATTCGTCCCCACCCCACCCCCTCTCTCTCCTCCCCCATCTTCTTCCCCTCTCCTATCTTCTTCCCCTCCTCCCCCATCTTCTTCCCTGCAACCCAGAAATGAAACGAAACGAAAAAAAAAAAAAAAAATTTCAAAACCCAATTCGTCCCCACCCCACCCCTTATCTCTCCTCCCCCATCTTCTTCCCCTGCGGCCCAGAAACGAAACAAAAAAAAAAAAAAAAAAAAAACTAAAAATCAAAACCCAGTTCGTCCCCACCCGAGACTTGGGCTCGCACACCCATGGCTCGCCGGACCTGGGTTGGGTGTCATCTGGGTGCCCCAGAGCTTCACGGAGACGAAAGGAGAGAGGGTTGACGCCAATGATGGTTTTGGTACCGTCGTCGGTGGGTGTGGGTGTGTAAATGGGTGCGTGAGTGTAGATCTGGGAGAGTGGTATTGTCTGTGAGAGAGAGAGGGGGAGAAAGAGTGAGTGAGCTGAGAGAGAGGGAGATGTTGGCATGGGTGGGGAAGGGTGGGGGGTTGCACGGAAGGGGAACGGGAAGGGGTCGGGGTGGGGGGGGAGATGGGAATAGGTTCTGGGATGCAGAGAAGAGAGAGAGGCGAGAGAGAGGGGGGAGAGAGAGAGAAGAGAGAGAGAGAGGAGAGAGAGAGAGATTTAATATAAAAATAAAAAAAATTAAAATTTAAAAATTTAAAATTTTAATTATTAAAAATATATTAAATAATTTTTTAATCCAATTGGATTAGTGAATAGGCCCCGCCTCTAGCCACATTAGCACTTAACAGAGAAATTAACAAAAAAATTAATGGAGGTATGATATTGGCATAAATTTTTAAGATGATGTATAACATTGTCATTTTTAAAAGATTAGGTATGAAAGTGTCGTGACACCTATAGTTGAGGTAATTTTATGTAATTTACCCTAACAACTAATAGACCACAACATAAAAAGTACCAAACTTGACAATGAATTTTATATTCACAACACTATTACAAATATAATTCATGAAACATTAACATTTTCTTCTTTCAACTGATTATTCCTTACAACACTGGAAAAACATTTTTTAAAGCACAACAATACCAAGTAATTCTCCTTTTAGCTTAGTTGGTTAAGAACATTCGATTTTACACCTGAGATCTCGTGTTCGAATTTCCTCTCTGTGAGAAAAAAAAAGTAATTTGAATTCTATTTTTGGGCCATGAATTGAGAAAAGAGCCTTCTTTCAATCTGTATTTGGGCCTCCAAACTAAAATTCACTAGATTTTAGTCCAGTACAAAGTAACTCCTTGATCGGTTATCAACTCTCTAAGTCTAACCCAACGGCTAACCATCTCACACTCACAGACTGACATTCAACCATGGAGGCAGCAGCACCACCACCAGCGAAACATACCACCACCACAGCGCCACCAATCCTCGGCAGCGTAGTAGCTCTAGATACGACCGTCTCCCGACATCTCCACATCCTCGCCAAACCCTTCCTCCCCTATTCCCTCCTCCTCCTCCTCGAACTCTCCGCCGACTTCCGCTTCTTCTTCCCTCTCTCTCTCTCCCTCCTCCTTGCCCCAACCCTAACCCTAACCCCTATCCCGATCCCATCCCCAAGCCCAACCCAAATCCTCCGTCCACTCCTCTCCCCACTCATCCTCGGCCTCCTCCTCGACCTCGCCGTCGTCGGCCTAATCAAACTCCTCTTCCGCCGCTCCCGCCCTCTCTACAACAAGAACATGAGCGTCGCCGTTTCGGTGGACCATTTCTCCTTCCCCAGTGGGCACGCCTCTCGGGTTTGCTTCGTTGCCTCCCTCTTACACCTCTCCGCCGTCGCCCTCGCCGATGCCCTCGCCAACCTACGGTCATCGTCTCCCTTCGTTGATCGTTGGATCGGCACGGACCAGGTCAATGCCGTGAGTATTTTGGTCTCGGTTGCTTGGGCCTGGGCCGCCGGCACCTCCGTCTCTAGGGTTTTGCTGGGCAGGCATTTCGTCACCGACGTTTTCGCCGGGGCGTGTTTGGGAGTGCTTGAGGCTCTCGTTTCGTTTCACTTCCTGAGGTTCTAAGGTATGAATTGTTTAGCACTGAAAATTGAACTGCTAATGATCGTTTATGCATTGATTTCTGAGTTAATCATGTTAACAATGTTGGGTATAATCACAGAGAGTTTTAGTGACGTGTTATTAGGAGTGACAACAATTGTGGCGGTTTCGATGATTGTGGAATCAAATGTTGAAGTATTACGACTAACATTACGAATGTAGAAACTTATAACTAGAAGACTAGAAATTAAGTTAATAGCTATAGTGAGGTATTCTTGTCAAAAGTCCAGGTTGCTAGATATTAGTGATACAAGTTGTGTGGTGGTGGTTGTGTTGGTAATGATGATCGGTGTTGGCTTGTTTACTTCCAGTGTGGTTTTGAGGGTAATGATAGTTTCAATGGTTTTTGTCATGGTAACACTAGTAGATGGCAGAATTATGGTGCTTGACAATGGCGACAGTTGCGAGTATGGTGGTATGAGGGTGGGGGCAGTGTTACTGTTGTCAATGCTGATAATGACATAGTTTTGTTGGCGACGTTGGTATCGACATTGGAGTTGATGGCAGTGTGGTGGTATTGATGAAGGTTCGAATGGCAGTGGTGGTTTTTCTGTAGAAACCTTGTATTGAGATGCCCAGTTTTGTATCCAAGCTTTCGAATGAGTTTAGGGAGGGAGGGAGGGATGGAGGAGTGCTTAATCCTTTAATTTCACATATATGATCACTAATTGGACTGCATGCGGTACCATGGTTATCTATAATAGACCTGTATTGAAATGGTAAAGAAAAAACTTAAATAGATTGAATTTCAGTCTCTCTTCACCTACAAAATCATGTACGGTCCTAGTTCTATATCCTACGGGGCACATGGTATCATATCATTGTTTGGAAATTTATCAAGCATGTAGCATTCTATTTCATAGTATACTGCCTTATTCAATTCTCGAATCTGGAATACTTGTCATCTGCTTGGAAAGAAGATAATAGAGCATATCAGATTCTTAGTTTTATAACCTGAATGCAAACAACAACAACAACAAAGCCTTATCCCACTAAGTGGGGTTGGCTAAATGAATCCTAGAACGCCACTGCACTTGGTTTTATGCCATGTCATCCGTTAGATCCAAGTAGTCCAAGTCTTTTCTTAATGTCTCTTTCCAAGTCTTCCTAGGTCTTCCTTTACCCTTCTGGCCTGAGTCTCTGTCTCGTAATTGTATCTTCTAACCGGGGCATCTGTAGGTCTTCGTTTCACATGTCCAAACCACCTTAACCGATTTTGTCTCATCTTATCTTCAATTTCGGCTATTCCTAGTTTACCCCAGATATCCTCGTTCCTAATCTTGTCATTTCTTGTGTGCCCACACATCCAACGAAGCATTCTCATCTCCGCTACACTCATTTTGTGTACTTGTTGATGCTTCATTGCCCAACATTCCGTGTCATAAAGTATTGCTGACCTTATTGCCATCCTATAAAAGCATTAGTGGCATATGACGGTCGCACAAGACACTCGATGCACTCTTCCACTTCATCCATCCAACTTGTATTCCACGATTGAGGTCTCCATCCAACTCTTCATTCTTTTGCAAGATAGATCCAAGATAGCGAAAGTGTTCGCTCTTTGGTATTTCTTGATCTCCAATCCTCACCCTTAACTCATTTTAACCTCTGTTCCCACTGAACTTGCACTCCATATACTCTATCTTTGGCCTACTTAGGCGAAGACCTTTAGATTCCAACACTTCCTCCCGAAGGTTAAGCTTCGCATTTATTCCCTCATGAGTTCATCTATCAACACTACCGTCTGCAAAAAGCATACACTAAGGAATATCATCTTGGATATGTCCGTTAATTCATCCATTACTAATGCAAAAAGGTAAGGACTTAAAGGCACACTAACGTCTGCGAATGGCATACACCAAGGAATATCATCTTGGATATGTCCGTTAACTCATTCATTACCAATGCAAAAAGATAAGAACATAAAGATGAGCCTTGATGTAACCCTACAATGTAACGAAAATGCAAAAAGAGGAATAATTGTATTTATTGGCTCTTCAAATTTACTGCTTATCATGCTCCCCAAAAGTTCAAAGCTTCTTTTGAATTACCTGATAGTGAAAGCACACTTAGTATGGCAAATCCCAAGCCAATACTTTAAGGGCTTGTTCGATAACCATTTTGTTATTAGTTTTTATTTTTCAATTGATTTGCTATAGATAGAGGAAAGTATGTTGGAGAAAGGGGGAATGAAAGAAGGGTGAGGGAAGGATGGTGGAATGTGAATGGATATAAGGATACACAAATGAAAACTAAAAACAAAAAAAATGAAATAAAGAACTAAATGAAAATTTGAAACTAAAGAAGAATTGTTATCAAACAGGCCAGAAGGTGCTACTATCTTGAAGGAAAATGTAATTTACAATCTTATGATGGGTAGAACACTATGCCTTATTTATTTGTAGTATCCATTTTCAAAATTGCCATATTTTCTTTCTCCCCTCAAAGAAAAAATCATTTTTTCTCTGTCTAATGAAATACATTCACTGTCGGTTTAGTACTTCGAAGATTTAGATGTTTTCTTCCAACATTGGAAGAGATATACCACTAGAACGAGAAGATGTTGGTGAATTTGAAAGTTCTGCCCTTGATGTAGACAAAGATTAACCTGAAGGGCGAAAAGCAGCCTCTGATGAATATAATTAGGGGATTGAGAGTTAATACTTAATGCTTATGATGGACATATTAAATTTATAAGGGTGGAGTGAGGGGAAAATTAGCAGAGTTTTGTAGCCGTACTAATGTGTAGTGGAAAAAGTGAATTTAGAAATTCTCGACAGCAGTTGCACTATAGGATGTGAAGAATAAGCATTTAAAGATGGAAAAAAGTATGTAGGAATGTAGATTAGGGACTGGGTGAGGTAGTTTTCTATTCAGTTCATTGTGATTGGACTTACAAATCCTGGATTGCCGATGCTACCAGCTGGTATATCTTCTTTTAACTATATCAGTCTTGCCAAGTGTTGTGGTAGTGGGCACGCTTTATACTGACTTGTACCAGGTATCAATTAGTTATCTTTCTCTGGCTGAATATGAGTATGTTGTTCCCGGGTCTTTAGGACTTTACATGTTGCACCTAAAGTTAGTCTTTACAATTCAACGTCTGATGGAGATGACTTCTGACTGGAGGATAGCTTCCGACTGTAAATTGTAGGACGGTTCCAGACTGGAGCAACCTCGAAGGCAATGTGGTGAAAATACTTTGTCAAGGTTTGGGATACTCCTTTTCATTTCTGATGACCCCCGTAGAATAGGGAACTGGTTATGTTTTATGCTGCACGGCTGGAATGTTCTTCCGTATAACATTGTTTTGATCATGGGAAGCAGATGAAAGTAGAGATATCGTTGCGAAGTATAAAGAAACTCTTAAGGGGCAGTAGCATCCAGATGTAATGAGAATTATATTGAGTTCAGCTGGTGAAAGAGATGCTGGCAAATTATGTGCTTCTTCAGTGGTACCTTCCATGCTTTCACTGGCTCCCATTACTCTTTCACTGGATTTATTGAAAGGAAAAATGATTGTTGGCTCAATCATTGACGAAACATTTTTTCATAAGCTTTATTCGATGGACGGATTGTTTGATTCACGCTTAGAAACTCGAGAGATAACTGTTGAATACTATGAACATTGCTTGGGTTCTTACATATGAAGACTCATTCCTCAATCCTCATCACCTGCAAATAGGGATGAGGCAAAATACCTAGGAGTATGGGTAAATTGCGGTTACCCGCTCATGTAAGACTCATGGTTACAGTTATGAGTAACCGTTTTAAAAAATAAATGGTTTTGGGTATAATAATTTATCCGTGAAATATAAGTGAGTTGTTATGGGTATTACTGCGGTTATAAAGGGATACTTATTTAACCGTTTATTAATATATGAAAATTAAAAAGGAAAAAAAAAAAAAACTAAAAACCGTAAAATTGTTCGACCCCTCCCACCGTTCATATCTCTCCTCGTTGCCCATTCTTTCTCATCTCCGCCACATTTTGCATTGCTTGTTAATGGGTGTAATGATGTTATACTGCAAAGTGTTGGATTATTTCCTACCTTCGAGCTTATGTATATGCATTCACGTTTACACCAAGAATGCGGCCTTTACCAAGTGCATTTGAACTTTTTAGGTGATATGTTTCGAGTTGAACCCAAGATTGCTCATTATGTGTTTGCTATGAGTCTATAACAACTTAAAACGGAACTAAAATTGTCGTCTAACGAAGAATAAATTTGGTTGTTGACGGTCTATATAACTGAATTCTAATCCTCTTGATTAATGATACATATAAATACATACCCTTTTCTTCTCCTACGTGTTGACAGGAACATTTTTTTTAGAGAGTGCCAATACAAAAAATGCTACAAGCTTACGAATTATCACCTCTACATCTCGGTAAACAGATTGAAAAAAGGTAAACGGGTTAAAATATGGGTAAACGGGTTAAAAACAGGTAAATGGGTTAAAAAAAGGTAAATTGTTAAACGGGTATGAGGTTATGAGTATGGGTATAACCGTTCTTGCAATTATTTAATGGGTAAACGGTTATACAGGTAAGGGCTTAAACAATTATGAGTAAATAACGGTAGTTACTCGCCCACTATAACTGTTGTCCATGCTTACTTGCAAATCATAATTTCATCCGTAAGGTACAACTCATTATAAGTACAAAAGGAAAATTTTTCACACACATGTTAAGCAGTGGTTTGTTTATGAGAAGAAATGACTTCTTACATGTAAGGCGCCAAAGTATTTTTTTTGTTGATTATTATTGTCATGCTTTGGTGAATGCATCATTGCAATTGGAAGTATTAACATGGAAATGGTGGAAAGAATCTTCATATAAGAAGCGTTTGAATACTCCACGATTTTTTGTTGACTTGAAAGGATGTCATATTTGTAGAAGGGGGTACAAAACCTTTTTTTGTTGGTTCTCTTTCCTTAGTGTTGTAAAAGATATGCATATGCAGATGCCTGTTGAGGAAATTTAATTTGTGGAATTCAATGGATGATTGTCCTATCTTTTTGTTTTACGTCCCTCCCTACAGTTCGAGGGCCCCCGTGTCCTAAATGCTTACTTGATTGAACTCATTTAGGGCACCACATGACGGGGGGTGTCCTATCATTTGCTATTAATCTTTGAAATCAACGGCTTTTTTCCTGAGACCTTGAGATTGTTCTGTGAACAATGTGGAAATGTGGTTGGATCTTTTCTCTTTGTGGGTCACTTGCATATGTTCTTTTCGTTTTTCCTTTTCCATGATTGTTGTTTGAATTGAATCCACAGACATCGGCTTTATTTATTTATTTTTTATTGTTGTTTGAATTTGTTTGGGCACAAAATATTAATTTGGGCCGAGGGTAGGATCACTCTCGGCCCGGGAGGCCGATCGGCTAGTGGGCTTCCCAGCCTAGGGCGGTTAGGTCAGAACGCCAGCCGAGTCCTAATACAATGAGGAGTCTCGACGGGATCAGTAATCCAGAAGGCAAATCCGGCTCAGTTAAGGACTAGATTCATAGTCCTAATAAAGATAGGACTAGTCGAGATGACGTTGATCCGGGGAGGAAAACCTAGTCCGAATAGGATTCTAACTCAGACTTAAGGTCCAGTGCTATAAATAGGGGAAGCTGTGCACCAGGAGAAGCCTCCTGCAAATCAATACAAAATTGCCCTGCGCAAATTCTCACAACTTGTGATTTTTCTTTTTCTTTTTTCGCTGACACATCTTCCGTTGGCATCAACAGCACTGTGGAAGCAACCGGTGATATCTTAAGTCGGCATAGATAGCTCTGTCACCGTAGAATCAATCGGTCTCGCAGTATCTTCCGTTGGCATCAACAACACTGCGGCGAGAACGGTTGATTACCTATCCAAGTCTCGGTCGAGAAGGGTTTCTGAACTCTTATTGGTCGAGGTCATCTCATTAGCCTTCTCGGCAAAGTGAGGTGTTACAGTTATTACATTCGGCACATTGAAAACCGAATTTGATATTGAACTTCGTAAGAATAGTAACCTTGTCTTCAGGTTCGAGAGCCCAAGAAGTCGAGACGTGTTCCTTTCTCGGCCGCAATCGCAAGACGCAGAAGTCAGTAGCGTGACCTAACGCAACATCAACAAATTTACTCCTCGGCCGAGCTCGGCCGACGAGTTGGCACGCCCCGCAATCACCGAAGGACGTAGTTAGCTTATAGATTACTCGGCCTGCGCGCTACGTAGGCTTTGTAGTTTCTAGGGTTAACATTTTGGCACGCCCAGTGGGACCCAGTGCTAAACTACGAAGTTCATGCCAATTGAAACACGATCGGTAAAAAAGAAAACCACTATGGGAAAGTCGACAGCCGATTTGCCGAATCAAAGCACGGGACAAAGTGTGCCACAGGCGCAGAATCCCCTTAGCGCTGTGACACCTGAGTCCACAAGCGCGACCCGCCGAGAGAGAGAAGTTAATCTCGGCGGTCAGCTCCGCGGTCTAGAAATCCCTAACAGAAACACCTGCGTTCTCACTGAAGGGATAGTAGAGGAGTGCGACGAAGATGGCGGTGAAGGATCTGATCCACCGACAAGGTCGTTTCTTCAAAAGCGACTAGACGAGCAGTCTCGGTCAGTCGAGCAGACGTTCAGTCGAGGCATTGACAAGCTGCATGACGCGATACTCAGTTCCAATGATCGACAAACCAGGCTGCTCGAAATGCTGGTTAGTAAAGTTGGGGGCAGCAGGCCTTTCGATCTTCTCCAACATTGTCCACCAGGAAACAACCCGGTACCGATTGTACCGGCCGAGCCTATTCCTGCTCTGCTCAAACCAATTAACTTGGAAAAAGGAGGGGGGTCGAATAGTAGGTCAGACGGAACCGACCAGATGATCGAAGCAACACCTGTTGATATTACCGAAGTTCAGCGGATGATCGACTCGTCCATGAAGAAAGGGCCGAAGTTTCCCAAGTTTATTCATCCGTACCCAGCTTACGTGGAAACGTTTGGATACCCGAAGGGTTTCAAGATCCCAGATTTTAGTCTTTTTACCGGTGAATCGTCCCTGTCTTCGTTGGAGCATGTGGCTCGTTTCACCGCGCAGTGCGGAGATGTTAATAGTGATTTCCATAAGTTACGGCTGTTCAACTTTTCATTGACCGGCTCGGCATTTGCCTGGTACATCAATCTCCCTCCTAATTCCGTCCAAAACTGGGAGGAGTTGGTCGAGAAATTCCACGAGCAGTTTTATCGGCCGGGGATGGAGATGTCAGTCTCTTCATTAGCACGGATGGCTCAAGCATCTGATGAGTCACCAATGGATTATCTTACCAGGTTCAAATCAGCTAGGAATTGGTGCCGAGTGCCTTTACCCGAAGTCGAATTTGTCAGGCTTGCTTTGAACGGTCTTGACGTCGAATACAAAAAGAAATTCTTGGGGGCAAATTTTTGGGATATGTACGAATTAGCCCAACATGTCGAGCAATATGATTATTTGCTCCGCGAGGAAAAGACTTCGAAGACTCCAACTCGGGGAACGATTTACAAGAACCCTACTGTCAATTATGCATCAACCGAGGATGAATGCGTTAGTGTGGATGAGGCTGAGATAGTGATAGATAAGCCATACGTTTGCAAGGCATTGACTCTAGAGAAGCCAAAAGTCGCTCGGCCACTGAAGGAACATTGAAACCGTCAAAGGTTTATACTTTTGATATTACCAAGGTTGACGCAATTTTTGACCAACTATTATCAGCAAGAATCATTAAGCTTCGGCCTGGTCATAACATTCCTAAGGCCGAAGAGCTTAAAGGAAAGGTGTATTGCAAATACCACAATTCGAGCAAACATACGACAAACAATTGTGTTGTATTTCGCGATAACGTCCAAAGCTGGATTGATAATGGCAAACTGAAGTTTCCCGAGAAGAGGATGAGTATTGATACTGATCCGTTCCCCACGGCAACAGTAAATATGGTTGACGCGTACCTACCCAAGGACAAAGGGAAAGGTAAGGCCGAAGTGGTTGAGACGCAACGCCCGCGGAATCAGAATTTTCGGCCATGGTTCATGGCCGATTTTCGTTCAAACAAACCACCTACGGCTTTAACGGGGCCCGCTATTGTCAAACCTATGATGGATTATAGCACCGATGAAGACAGTGGGACGGCGGTTTTGTGCAGGAAATGTAGAACGAAGGTCGACAGTGAACCAGAGGAGAAGCCCTCTGCGCAACCTGTGGCCGTGACTCGGCAAAAGGTAGCCAATGAAGGCCAACATCACGGGGTTTTTGAGAGGCTCGGTCCTAAAGTACGGATGGAAGAGACACCCCCGGTCAGGCGGCGCCTCAATTTTGATGCTTCATTCTATGACGATGATTACTATAAGCGTAATTCTAGCAGTTCAGAATCATCGCGGAGCCAAAAGACCTTCAAGCCTCCCGAGCCTAGAGATCAACGTTGGTATACATACCATTCTTCGAAGGGCGTCTACACTGCGTTGTCCAAATCTCAGAAACGCCGGCATCAACGGATAGATTGCATGGCTCGCCGACGAGCAGCCCAAGAAACTTCGGCCCCTAAGTGGCGGCCGAAGGACACAGTTGCCACTGGTGATGAGCGACCACCTCTAGCAATTATGACAGAGTTGGCTCAAGGGAAACGGCTGGTCGATCAAGATGTCGAGACCATGTTTGAAGAAGCTGATAAACGAATCAAACTTCTCATTCGACCAGGGGAAATGAAGGCACGCTTTGAACATTTCAGGCAAGAGGCCGAAAGCAAATTATCCCCGCCGGCTATACAAGAACCTTTGGTCAAAATTCGACGGAATTTGCATCCTCCGTTCCTTGGGGAGTCTTTGGAGTATATGCGAGAATTTCATAAGAAACATT